GGGCACAGAGTGCACAACCCCCCACGGCTCCCCCCACCAGCAGGGCACAGGCTCACTCCCTTTCTGCCCCTCACACCCACCGCTCTTTTCCCCCGGAAGCTGCAGCACACCCTCATTCAAACCCTTTCCCGCAGCCCCCGGAAATGCTGGTTACCAAGGTAACAACACCAGCTACATCGACAACGCCCGCCGCTTCCACCTCAGCGGCACCACCCCGCCCGATCCTTTCCCAGGCCGCACCGCGCGCCCATGCGCGACTGCAGGCTGCCAGGCACCGCTCCCCACCCCGCCCATCCAAACGCATGCGCGGTGGGATCCGCTCGCGCGAGACGCATGTCCACTGCGCATGCGTAAAGCCGCCTTTCACGGGAAGACTGTTCTCTAGCGCTACGTGGTCCCCCTTCCTTATTGTCCGCGATACAATCAACCGCCCTCCGCGTTAATGCTGTAAAAGCCGCCTATGTCTCAGCTCTGTACTCCGGGCGCAGCTTGTTCCGGAAAGGCCGCGCCTCCTTATTGTGGCCCCCCGAGGCACTTCCGGAGCAAGGGGGACACTTTACAGAGCGACACCCCCTTGCTCCACGGGACGAGGTAAATCTATCGGCGGACCCCTATGTGCCGATTCGTGTCCACGCGAAGGGCGGGGCAAAACGTAGCGAATTTACGGGGCGGAAGGAGGAGCTGAAGCTGCCGGTTCCCCACGTGTTCGGGGTGGTGGACAGGCGCTGAGTGTAGAGCGGGTGAGTAGCGGAGCGAGCCCCGATTCCCTAGGCGGGGGCGGGCCGTGAGCGCCCTGGGTGGGGCCCTGCACCCGGGCAGCCTCGGGACGCCAAGGTCAAGCGAATCCGCCTGGGTTCCCTCCCTGGGCCTGTGTGACCGGGGTGGGGGTGCCTCAGTTTCCCCTGTGTGGTGGGGCGGTGCTGCTGCCCCCTGGCTGGGGGGAGCAGGACGCTGTTAGACCCGTTCCCTGCCGCCTCCTCGCGTGTTTCTAGCTCTGCCGAGACTCCCGGGGCCCGTCGCCTCGTGGTTGCAGCCCAGGTGCACGGTTCAGGGCTACTCAGGCTGTCGAGGGAACGGAGTGGCACGCCAGGGGATCTTGTACAGATTAGACTTTTCTGCCTGAAAAAGAAGACGCAACATGGAGACCTAAAAAGACTTTGCCGTTGCTAGCAATTTTATGTGGCAGATGCTCAGGTGCCACGGAGCGACCTGATTCCCTGAAATAGATTTAGCATTTTGAAGAATTGCTGTAAATATATCCATTGTCCTAGAGTAAGACCACTCCATCACTTAACATGACCTCCTGTATGTCATAGGCCACCTATAACACCCACACAATAAACTTGACCAAAATACTACAGCCCGTTGAAGATTACTGTTACATTCCATAGGCTAAAGACCCCCACAGTAGCGTGAGATATCATGAGATAAGCACAAGATAGCTGAAGAACTGTAAGAGCTTTGTGATAACCTACTGTGAAGGTCATTCACCCTATATAAATAGGATAGTAGCAGCATTGTTTTTAATATATTCTAAAGCCAGAAGAAATCACTGTGATCATGTAATTTGACCTTTCTCATAACAGCCCGGAGTATTTGTCCAAAGTACAGTATTTTATCTCATGGTTATTTATTTTATGATACTTTAATAATTTCCTAAAGAAGTTCATATATTTGTTTTATATGTCAGGAGTATGTGGGTGAGGTTCTGTTGCCTGCAGACTTTAATTCAAAGAGCTCTTAAAATAGGAAGATTTCAATCCTTAAGTATCTATAGCAAAAAAATCTGTCTCTGATATTAAGTCTCTATTTAACCAGGCATTGCTATGGCTTCATACAGCAGTTTTCACTAATATTTAGCTCATACTTTGTGATTTTCATCCATAGATTTCAAAGCAGAGAGAAAGTCAGAGTATTTTTGTCCCTATTTTACAGACAGGGAAAATGAGGCATTGGGAGGTAAAATCATTTATCAGTATCATCCACCAATGTAATGGCAGACCTAAAAATGGAACCCATGTCTCCATAGTACAGGTCCTGTGCGTTATCCACCAGGCCAGGGCTACTCAACTTTGAAAGCTCCAGGGGCCACAATGATACTTCACAACACTTATTTGCAGTTATTGTTTAGGCTCTACACAATTACAACTGCAGTTGTAACCTACTTTCATGAGACTTCTATGCAACAAATATGGTTGAGATGCATCCACTCAGAAGCTTTTTTCCCCAATGCAGTCATGTATGAATATAGTTTTTATGTAGGCACCACATTACATAACTGTTTATACCTTCTGAAGAAATCTGGCCGTATAGTAAACCAGGGTATCTGGAGGCCTAGAAAATATACTATTAATATAATCTGCTCCAGGTAGGAAGTAAAAAAGTAGTGTGTGCATTGTTTGATGCTGGTTATTGTGCAACATTTGAAAGAGATGCAGGATTCAATAGTATGAAATAGTCCAGGGCTACTCAACATGCAGCCCATGGTGCGGTTTGGGTTCACACAGGACTCAACACGTGGCCTGCAGGTGGGATCCTTTGAATATGACCTCCACTGGGAACATGCTCCACAACGGCAAGTCAATATAATGGTCTTCTGCTGATATGTGTTTTAGTAGTTAACTTCCTGGACTGTCATTGCTCATTAAAAGTGCTTCATGTAGGTGGAAATAAGGTAAATATTGCATTTTATTAATATCAGTAGAGCTGACTTAAATGGGGCCTGCATATTCTGTAGTCTTGCCTTAATCGTTGTATTCATGCCTGTCGGTGTGAAAGAAGCTATTTGCAGATATGTTTCCATGTATATGCAACAACACTTAAGTTGTGGCCCTCAGCATGCGTTATATCATTGTGGCCTCCAGGGCTTCCGAAGTTGAGTAGCCCTGAAATAGTCTGAAGAATGTAAGTTTTGGAGAAAAGTTAATCTATTGCACTTATTCTTGATGCAAGAGAAGAGACTTCATCGTGACCTGAGACAGGCTTTCAAAATTCATTAAAGGCGCTAATATATTTGATCTTATCTTCGTTAGAGATTCAGAAATTAAACTATATAACTTCAAAATTAGGAATAAATAGTTATTCTGCCTGGAATTCCCTGTTACACACAAGATAATAAATGTAAGTAATAACTAATTGTGAATAGAATGGGGAGAGAAAAGGACAAATTCAGACTCCTTTTTCCTGTCTGCACAGACTTTGTTGGCATTTTATTGTCCACTTACATTAGACTGGAACTTGCTTGCTTCAGGGCTGAATCTGTCCTGCTGACCTTGTGCCCTGGGGTATAATGCATGCAGTATTTGAGTATAATTTCTGTATTACTTAGAATAAAAATATTTTATGCATAATTATATGAAGAGCATCACACAAGGTTGAAATAAAACAATAACAAAGTACAGTAAACTTCTGATAATCCAGCACCTTTAGGACCCAGGGGGTGCCGGATTATCAGATATGCCGGACTATCAGAAGGGGGGGCAATGAGGGGTCTGTAGTGGCGTGGGAGGGGATGCCACCCCAGATCCCTCATAGCCCCCCTTACGATAGTCAGGCTCTGCCCCAGGAGTCCCTGATTCAGCTGTTGCTGGTCAGTTTCAGCAGCAGCAGCTGAATTGGAGATGCCTGCAGACCCAGGGGGTGCCGGATTATCAGATATGCCGGACTATCAGAAGGGGGGGCAATGAGGGGTCTGTAGTGGCGTGGGAGGGGATGCCACCCCAGATCCCTCATAGCCCCCCTTACGATAGTCAGGCTCTGCCCCAGGAGTCCCTGATTCAGCTGTTGCTGGTCAGTTTCAGCAGCAGCAGCTGAATTGGAGATGCCTGCAAGAGAGCAGCTGGGGTGCTGCCGGGTTGGTCCCGCAGCGCCGAGGGGCGGCGCTACAGGACCAACCCGGCAGCACCCAAGCTGCTCTACCCCAGGCGTCCCTGATTCAGCCGCTGCTGAAACTGACCAGCAGCTGACTCCAGGC